TCAACCTTCTGTCCATGTTTCTTTTGATGCAGCCCAGGATAGGATTGGCTTTCTGGGATGTGAATGCACACTGTTGCCTCATGTCCAGCTTTTCATCCATGAGAACCCCCAAGTCCTTCTCCATGCATCCAGGGGTGTCACAGAGGCCCCAAGAGCACCAGCATGAGCACAGAGATCAGCGCTGAGGGAACCAATATGATCTCACAGGAAATTTCAAGGAGTGAAGACATCCCTGGGTCATGTCACCCAGTTTTGTGTCTGACAAGGGTTTAGGGGGAGCCTTGGCCTGCTTTCTTAAGGGAGCCCCAGGAAGGCCATTCCAGAGTGGATCTGCATTTTTTGGGCGTTGGGCCTTTGGTTTCTGTTATGAGTCACTGAACTAGGATGGGGACGAAATGTGGGGGTGGCCTGGCTGTGATGTGTCTGGTGCCTGTGACATCAAAAGGGATGTGTCACAATGGGGGCGGGTGTAAATGCCACCTCCAGGCAATGCTCCCCAGTTTAGTGACTGCACAGACTGGGAAGATACTGTGCTGGACGAAGGCCGGAGTGGAAACGCTGCATCCAACTGAGTGGTTCTGCCCCTGCATCCAGGGCTCAGCCCCCTGTGGGCATGCCCTGTGCAGGCCACAGGGCCACCACTGGGACCATGTGCAAGCCTTGCTGCCTGCCACCTGCTTAGCAGCCTCTCCTTACTGCCCCAAACTCTCTGTGACTCCCTTCCCTGCTTCTCCACCATGGCTGCCATGATATTCTTTGGCATTGTAAAAAACATCCTCCAGTTCCCACAGATGGTCGGTGATCCACTGGATGAAGAGACCCGTGACCACATGCAGCAGCGTGCAGAATATCTGGACCAAAAGATGACGCAGCTGCTGCAGGAGCTGGAACATGAGACCACAGAACAGAGTGTAGGGGCCTGGGGAGCCCTGCTCTGGGCTGTCCTGGGACTGTTCTTGGGACTCTTCTGGCAGCTCAGGAAAAGGAGCAATGAGGTGGACATCAGCTGTGAAGCAGCGAGTGGCTGCAAGGACAGAGAAGAAAGTGAAGGAGGAGATCGTGCTGAGAGGGATCTACCCACAAAGCTGCTTGCTCCCCCACCCCCTACCCCCATCCTCAAACTACCCACTCCCATCCCCACTGCCCTAACCCCCTTCACCTCACAGGTGAAATGGGAGGGAAATGGAAAGTGAAGCCCTGTAGGTTGAGATAAGGATACTTTAATAGTTGAAATTGAAAATAAAACCCTGTAGGTTGAGAAAAGAATAGTTTAATAGCTGAATATAGTAAAACCGTGTAGGTTGGGAAAAGAATAGTTTGAGAGTTGAAATCAAAAGTAAACCCCCATCGGTTGAGAAAAGAATAGTTTAGTAGTTGAAACTGAAAGTAAAACCCCACAGGTTGAGAGAAGCATAGTTTAATAATTGAAATCGAAAGTAAAACCCTGTAGGTTGAGAAAAGAATAGTTTGAGAGTTGAAATATAGTAAAACCCCATAGGTTGAGATAAGAATATTTTAAGAGTTGAAATAAAGTAGAATATAATTTTATATAATAATAAAGATAATAATAAAAAAAATCAAAATAAGTGATGCACAATACAATTGATTGCCACATGCTGACTGATGCCGGGCACTTTCCCAAATGCCAATCAGTTCCCCTTTGGGCATATCTGCCAGTTTATATACTGGACATGACAATCTGTGGTATATCCTTTGGCCAGTTCGGATCACCTGTCCCAGCTATGCTCCCTCCCAGATGTTTTTTTTTGGTTTTTTGTACCTCCTTACTGGCAGAGCACGAGAGACAAAAAAGTCCTTGATTAAGGATAGATTTGACTTTGCAACAACCAAAACATCAGTGTGTTACCACCATTATTTTTGTACTGAATCCAAAACACAGCACTGTGCCACTTACTGAGAAGAAATTAACTCTATCCCAGCCTCAATCAGAACAATATCCACCCCTTATTCCATACCATTTACGTCATGCCAAGTCTCACACTTCCCATACCATCTTCCCTATTTATTTCATAGATATACATACAGACATCATTCCCTTAGTCTATGGAACACCTCTGTCAAATGTCCCTAAAATGTTCACAGAAATGTCTGTTGAATTCATTTAGCCCATGTCTTTGGCCTCCATCCCTGCTTGACAGTGTTTCAAGCAGGGAAAACGGTGTGAGTTGTTGGATCTCCAGTGTTTTCCCACAATACAGCAAGATCCATCAGTAAACAATGCATATTTCTTCTCACTTTCTGGTAATTTATTTTATAGTGAGCTCTCTTCAGCACATGGTACCTCCTCCTTTGTGACATTGCAAAATCTTTGCCTTCTGGCCAGTCTATGGTCACTTCTAAGACTCCTGGACAACTGGGGTTTCCCATCCAAGCTCATTTTGCGATCTGTTACCCACTTACTCCATGTACTGTCTGTTACATGATGTTGAACATCCAACCCAACACGGGTAATGCGGCTGCCAGGAGGAGCTGTGCTTCAGTACCAACCACTTCCAAAGCAGCCCAGACCCCTTCCTGAGCTGCCAGTATCTCTTTTTCAGTTGGAGTATAGTGGGCTTCAGAATCTCTGTATCCCCAGCTCTAAAAACCCAGAGGTTGACCTCCAGTCTCCTCCAGTGCTTCTGCCAGAGGCACCAGGTATGGCCATATTCCCCAGGTGCAGTATAGAGCACATTTTTCACATCTTGCCCCATTCGGAGTGGCCCAAAGGCTACTGCATGAACTATCTCCTGCTTGATTTGTTCAAAAGGCAACTGTGAGTATCTTGAGTCAGGGTGGGGATGAAGGGTGGGGCTGGCCTGGCTGTGATGTGTCTGGTGCCTGTGACATCAAAAGGGAAGTGTCACAGTGGGGGCAGGTGCAAAAGGCACCAGCAGGCAACACTTGGAGTACAGCCTGGACTATCCATGAACGCACACGTGGCAGGAGACTGTGCTGGATGAGGGGCAGAGCAGAAACACAGGCACTGGAGGGAGTGGTTCTCCCCTGCTCCCAGGGCCCAGCCCCCCATGAGCACACCTTGGACAGGGCACGGTGCCACCACTGTGACTGGGCACAGGCCTTGTTGCCTGCCAGCTGCTTAGCCCCCTCTCCTTTCTGCCCTTAGATTCCTCTGTCTCCTGCCACAACTCCCCTCACCTCCAGTTCCCTCTCTCCTTCCCTCACTCCTTCCCTCCCAGTGCTGCTCAACCTCTTCCTTTTTTTTCTCCCGAAGAGGAGGCCATGACCTTCAGGAAACTATTCCTCATCCTGCTTTTGAAATGCATCCTTGAGTACCCCCGGTTGGTTAGTGATAGACTGGATGAAGAGACCCGTGACCACATGCAGCAGCGTGCAGAGTACCTTGACCAAGAGATGACTCAGCTGCAGAAGGAGCTGGAACGCGTGACCCCGGGTCAGACTGCCAAGGCCTGGGGAGCCCTGCTCTGGGCTGCCGTGCATGAGTGGCAGTTCTGGGCCCTTGCCGGAATCCAGGTCTTGCTCTTGGGCCTCTGCTGGAAGGTCAAGAAAAGGAGCCATGAGGTGGACAGCAGCGACGAAGAAGAGAGCAGCTCCACAGAGAGTGAAGAAAGTGAGGGAGAAGATCCCTCTGAGAGGGATCTGGCCAGGATCTATGAAAGGCGCATCCAGTGGTCAGTGCATAAGCTGGCCCACAGGAGACGGGTGGTGGAGGAGCTGATGCATGACCTTCTCCATGTCTCCCATGAGCGCTTTTTGAACAGCTTCTTCCTGGTGCTGCAACCAGCCATTGGGGTGGGCAGTGCCTGTGAAGGTTGGAGTCCCCAGGAGGAGGAGGATGTTGTCTACTGCATGCTTGTGCCCCTGAAGCCACCCTGTGGGCACACCTTCCACCTGAAACCGAACACCACAGGGGAGATGCCGCAGAAGGGCATGTGTGTCTGTGTGGAGCTGGTGTGCACCTGCACCAAGGAGCAGGGGGGCAGCAAGACACTGTGCTTCCTCCACCACTGCAAGGAGGAACTGAAGAGAAATCAGGAGTCCAGCCTCCTACAAACTCTCTGCACCGGTCCCTACCTTGATGCACAGAAAATTGCCCTCTGGTTCCAGGAGTTTGTGACCTCAGCCTGGGAGGAGGTGCTTTGCTCACATCACTACAGCATGAAGGTGCTGCCCTCCACCCGCTCCTGTAAGCTGAAGCTGAAGAAAGCCCACAGGAAACCCCTCTTAGTTGAGATAATATTTGGTGTGCAGCAAGGGGACTCGGACATCTTCCTGAGTAGCCAGCCTACAGAGGCCCTGGTCCCCCCAAGCACGACGTGGCTAGAGACCTACGCTGTGGCAGAGGCGATGTTCTTCCAGCACGTCTCCAGGCAGGCCCCGCGCCACAGCTGCTACCTCAAATGCCTGCAGCTCTGTGCTCGCATTCTCGTGGGCACAGGCTTTTCTCCCTACACTTTGAAGACTGTGGTCATGCACCTCCTGACTCTCATCCCCCTGGCAGGCTGGTGCCGCAAGGATTTCCTGCTGCGGCTGGATGATGTTATGCAGTACCTGAGATGCTGTGTGGAGGAGAAACGCCTCAACCACTTCTTCTTTGGCAATGAGGACATGCCCAAGGAGATCAGCTTACCCAAAGCCTTCCAAATGGCCCAGCCCATCAACCTCTTCCAAAACCTGGTGCAGGACCCGGATGCCCATGCTAAGGCACTGCGTGAGATCAACTACATGACAGATCAGCTCAGAAGACAGCTCTTCTACGGGTTCTGCACATAGCATTGTATCATTAAGTTTCTAGGAAAAGACCTCTCAGATCATCTAGTCCAACCTTTGACCTTCTGGGAGCTTTACTTGGTAGAAAGTTTACAATAAATCGTGTATTTGAACAAACACCGCATCTCTGAGTGTTCGTGCGTCACCTTGGTGGGGAACACGGCTGCTCAGCTGAGTATTTGGCAGAAAAGCTGATGTGGTGGGCTTTGGTTTCTCTGATTCCATATCTATGGCTTCCCCACCTGTCCATGCTCCTGCACTGGGGAAATGGGAATATTTGGTCACCCTTCACAGCTGTGCTCGCTGCGAAGGGGCATTTAACAGTGCTGCCCTCCAGCTACTCCTGCAAATCCAAGCTGACCAAATGCAAGGAAAGCCTTATGGTTGAGAGGATATTTGGGGTGCTGCAAGGTGTCTTGGACAACTTTGTGAGCAGCCAGCCTACGGAGCCCCTCTTTACCCCAAGCTCAACATGGTAGGAGGCCTATGCTGTGGCAGAGAAGAAGTTCTTCAGGACACATCACCAGGCGGGTCCCACATGGCAGCCGGCACTGCAAACACCTGTATCTCCTCACCTGCAGCCTGGTGGGCACAGGCTTTTTCCCCTATACTTTGAAGACCATTTTGATGTACCTGCTGAACACCATATCCCCGTCAGACTGGCGCAGGAGGGATTTCCTGCTGTGGCTGAGTAGTATCATGGAGTACCTGCACTGCTGCCTGGAGGAGAAACACCTTGACCGCTTTGTCGTGGGCAGCAAAAGTGCTCCTAAAGATATCAGCTTGCCCCCAGAATTCCAAATGTTTGAATCACTCAACCTCTTCCAGCAGCTGGCACAGGATTTGGCTGCCCACTGAAAGGGCTTTAACCAAGGTTTGAAGGAGAAAAGGGTAAGACGAGGGTTATTAATGATAAGCTGTGAAATGGCACGACAATGTTTGAAGGGCGGTGTGCTAGCAAGAACTTTCGCTGTGCTCCAGGATGTACTGAGTAGATTGGAGAGCCTTTGCAGTGTTTGTACACTCAAGAGCACAGTGTGGGGAAGAGATAGGAAGAACTTTTTTTCCTGAGTTACAGCCACAGCTCCCTGTTCAGCTGGATTGGTCTTCTTCCCTGCCAGATCGTCTTTCAGCACATGGCGATAGCCTGCTCCTGTACCTTTAAGATTTCCTTCTTGAAGAATCTCCAGCCTTCCTGGACTCCTTTGCTCTTTGGGACTGCCTCCCAAGGGACTCTGTGAATCAGTCTCCTAAACATGCTTAAGTCTGCCCTCTGGAAGTCCAAGGTGGCAGTTCTGCTGCCTCCTGTCCTTATTTCTCCAAGAATCAAAAACTCTATAATTTTACTATTCTTATGCCCAAGATTTAATGTCAAGATAGGATGCTACCTAGGCAAATCAGGTTTCCTTATTTCTACAAGCACACACAAAAAAAGAAAGCCTTTAGACCTGTGTGAAACAAATATGTATATCCCAGCTAAGCAAGACAAAGTTACCCTTAAGCGACAGCACAAAAGTTCAGTGAGATAATCACATTAGCATTACTGAGCTAGCCATGCATGTGAAGCACAATATAGCTCCTATTTCCTATTTGACGGCATTATGGATCTAAAATATTCATATTTTATTGTCTTGTGTTGACAGCAAACTGCTAGAACAGAAGAATGGCTGGTTTTGTGTTTGGAGTTTCATGTCTTATTTAGTGCAAGTTTGAATGGCAAGCAGAATTAATCAGGTTCTTGAGTACACTTTATCCAAGGTTATTCACACTAGCAGTCCTTAAGCAGAGTAGGGGATGGTAATCTGGTGTCCTTTTTATATATACCCATTGGCTTGGGAATATATATTCCACCTGTTCAAAAAATCCTAAGGGAACTGAGCACTCAACTCTTCTGCAATTCCAGTAAGATTTCAAGATTTAACCTACTTAATGCCTCTCTTCTCTGGAAAGGATAGATTCAAGCCCTGATGTGCATCTGGCTGAAGCCTGCTCTGATTTTACAGCATCCTTCAGCCCTGTGCCGGTGCTTCTGGCACCTGCTGAAACAGAGATGCAGTCTGCACCCAGTGCTGCTGGAAAGCAGGCAGTGGGGACAAAACATGAGACAGATCTGAAACACCATTCATGCTTTAACAACCTCTGGTATTTCCCTGCATGTTTGTAAAGGACAGCCAGCTAAAGATGAGAAATGTAATATGCTCCTGGTGCAACATCGCGGTCTGAGGGCCTGATGGAAAACCCGGGGGAATTTCTAAACAATCGCCCTGGGTCTTGACTCAGGAAGCAGACATTTCCCAGGCTGTTGGTCACCCACCCAAGCAGGAGCTTCTGTGGCTCCTCGTCAGCACCAAGGAGGAGAAGCTGGCTGTGGTCTCCACAGGAAGGGTTTCCCTGACATACTGCGTGCCGGTCCCTGAGCACAGGTGGCCATAAGGAGCCTGGCAGCTGCCTCCTTTAGGGAATTACAGAAAGCAGCTTTGCCTCAAGAGCTCTGCATGGTGAAGGGCCCAGAGCAACCTGCTGTGCTGCCTGTCACACCTGCCAAAAGGAAGCTGTAATGAAAACAAGCAACTCTCAATAATGCCTGTGCGTTCACCTGGAAGTAATGAAAACAAGCACAAAGCAGCCAAGGAGCCCTTCTCAGGCTGTGTGTTGCTGTTTCCTATAGTCACACTGCCACCAGTCTCTCTGAGAACTGGGTCCACTTATCCACAATAATCTCCTGCAAGGTGTCATTGACCCTGCCGAGAACTGAGTGGTAAAGGATACCACTAAAATAAATTACTCTTAAAAAAACAAGATATGGAATGTTTTTGCTATTATTTTCCAGTTTCTAAAATTGCTGTTGGAATCTGCTTTTCCTCTAGGACCTTGTGGAGCCCCTGCTTATTCGAGTGATGAGGAACTTCTTTGGTGGCCTTCATGGAACACCCGCCAATCTCCATCCCCTCTGACCCCTCCACAAAATCAGGAGTGTCATGGGCTCTTCACCCCATGTTTTCCATGGGAGTTTCTGCCCCACTGGCTCTCCTGGGAACAGGCTGCAGACTTATTGTACAACTGCAACATGTAGTCATGCAGTCATGACTATTGCCAAATGTCTTCATCCCACAGTCTTCACTGTTTATCCTCTGCCTCTTCTTAATTTGCAAGAAGTCATGTTAGGAGGGAAGGGGAGCAGGAAATATTTCTGTGAAGCTGAGTTACCTAATGGTTTTATGGGTCATGTTGCTAGGACAAAAATACCCCTAAAAAGCAGTACTCTATGGCCCCAAAAGTTTTCACCTCTTTTCAAGTAAACCTGGTCGACATTGCGTGGGGACTGTGACAGCCCTGGGAGGATGGACTACTTCACAGCACTCGGCTCTCATACTACGACTCAGTAAATCAAAAGTCTCTCTGCCTTGTGCTGGTTGCTTACTTTTTCACATGATTCTCAGAAAATCTCGTTGGATCCCCACATGACACATTACGTTTTTAAATTAGTACTTAAAGAGACTACTGAAAGTTTATTGCTCTTATCTTTGTCATTCACCGGGTGTGCCTGTCCCTTCCTCCTTTTTGTCTGCTGAATGAAACTGTCAGGAACACAGCTTTAGCACTGCAGGGCATTTGCAACGGCAGCAAAAGAATAAAAGAAGCATTTTTTTCCTAATCTCTCAGTGCACTTCATCATCTTCCATCAGTGTAAGCCTACTAAATTTTAAGTTTAGAGGTGCATCCTGTGACAATTTCTTCCTACAGCACAAACTCAAACTATTTAGGCAAACTAGCGATTATTCTTCCACACTAACATCAACATAAAGCAGATTAGAAGAATTAAATACACAAGAGTGCAGTTCTTTTATGATTATGCACCCTTAATCTTCAGAAGATGGTTAATTACATTTTAAGCAGCATAAGAGCCCTAACATATTTGTATGTTAATAAAAATTCTCACCAGGGGTTTAAATCTAACATATATTCACAGGTATAACTAATGGCATTTTTCAGTAATGCTGTGAAAAAATATGCCTGTAAGTTAGTACCTTCACACGGGAAACTGCTGGGAGTTTTTAATTTACTCTCTAACTATTCTCCTAATCATTCTCTTATCATGCTGGGATGGCTAAATGCATACAGATTATAATGATGGTGTGCACCCACCATAGCAGTGTCAGCGATGACATTTGTCAGTGCTTGAAGTCAGGCTGCTGCAATCAGAGCTCTGCAGTGGAGGGAAGTGAACGGGGTTGACACTGCAGCTCTGCAATTTCAAAAGAACTCATGTTTGCTAGTTTAAGGCTTATTTCAGTACAGAAAGGGATTAGTCTCTACCTAGGACAGGCCAAAACATCTCTGTGATTCAGAGCTTTTAGGACCAAATGTTAACCATGTCATTATTAAGAAACAAATAAGAAAAATTTCTTCATGGAAAGGGCGATTAAACAGTGGAACAGGCTCCCCAAGGAAGCGGTGGAGTCCCCATCCCTGGAAGTATTCAAAAAACACGTAGACATGACACTTTGTGATATGATTTAGTGGGGATGGTGGCGTTCAGTCAAAGGTTAGACTCAAGGTCTTTTCCAACTTTAATGATTCTGAGATTCATGCTCAGAGGTGTTGAATGGTCAAAAAGACTTCTTTCCTAGAAATCCTCCTAAGTGGATACACAACCTGTCATTTATCTCTACTTCCAACCTCCAAGAAGCCAGAGCACAGACATTCAAAGTGGAATTTGTATTCTTTATCCAAATCTTCTCCTTGGAAATTTCAGCTTCACAAAGTCCAGGATTTAGGCTAGGATAAGACCTTGCCTGATTCAAGGTCAAACCCCTCTTTGTTCTCAACCCAAGGCAGCCTCGGAAAAACAGAAGGCATGAACTTCGAATGGGAAAGAGAGAATGTACCAAAATAGGAAGCACGTGTCTTCCTTCTGGATTCACCCACTAGAGGGACTCATTTCGTTCCCTGAACGGCAGCAGAACGGAGCAAACTCAGGGGCGTGAGTAACACGGGGAAAGGGGGAAAGCAGGTGCTGTTGATGTTTCCTGCAAGTGCTGAGTTCAGTGGCCATAGGCTTCGTCCTTCCCTCAGGTGTGTTTGTTCTGTTGGCTGATCATCATCATGCCAGTTTCCTTTGCAGGAGCCACCTGAGTTTCAGGAAAAAAAAGCTTTACGGCTCAACTTTACGTTTCTCTCCTATTTGGTCATTTCTTCCCACAGTGGATTTTCTTCATGTCTACCTCCCAAAACAGACATTGTCATTCCAGAATATCCCCAGGGCATGAAAGATAATTTGCCAAAGGGGAAAGAGCTGAACTTTTGAAATATGTTACCTAATTATTAGTATTCCTCATTCTGAGTCTTATTTGTGGCAAGGATGACTCATTGCCCTTGAACACCCACTGCCTATCCATTTCCTCTAATATCACTTACCTTTTTGATTTTCTGTATACAGAGAGCTGACTTCTTATCCATTCCCACCGTTAAAGTGATGCATAACTACTGCATTTTGGGGATGGAAACATTATGGACACTGAAATGTCATCACAGCCCCATTTGCTCATCTGCTGTTATTTACCTCCCAGCAGACAATATTCAGTACAAGGCACACACAATGCAGAAGTCAGCACAACATCCATCACATTGATGCCAGGACGTTCAATGCATGCTGCCACGGATCAACGGAAACAGCCTGAGCTGGAGGATTTACAGAGCTCCCCATCTCCCTTCGGGCTCTGTACAAATTTCCCCCGGCTGAGACATTGTAGTTCTGGAGAGGAGCCAAAGCATGGCTATGTGCCAGCGGGAGGGGTTCCCGAAACAGGAGGATGCAGGGATCTACTGTCAGAGAGTCCTTCTTGTCTGGTGGATAC